CCAGAACCAGCTGGATCCGGTCTGTGACACAGACAACATGGAACACGCCAACCTGTGTCTGCTGTTCCAGCGGAGCAAGAGCCTGGCCTACATGGGACACTGTCAGGTACAACACAACACAGATCACGCTGATTGTAATTGCTGGAATTTTTTGTTTAATTTGTATATGAGTATGATTTCTGACGTGTGTGTATCTGTGTGTGTGTGTATCTGTGTGTGTGTGCGTGTGCGTGTGGGTGTGTGTGTGTGTGTGTATCTGTGTGTGGTGTGTGTTTGTGTGTGTGTCTGTGTGTGTGTGTATCTGTGTGTGTGTGTGCGTGTGTGTGTGCGTGTGCGTGTGCGTGTGCGTGTGCGTGTGCGTGTGGGTGTGCGTGTGTGTGCGTGTGCGTGCTCAGGACGCCTGCAGGAAGCCCAGAGAGGTGTGTGGTCATAACGGGGAGACCTACAGTACGGTGTGTGAAGCGTTCTCGGACCGTGTGGCTGTGGACTATCCGGGCCGCTGTCATGCGGTCGGTGTCGTGTCAGAGTTCACGTCAGACTCGGGCTGCAACGCTGTTCCCTGCCCTCCGCTCTCCAGCCGCGCCTGCAACCCCGTCACACCGCTCGGTGAGAGCCGCTCCACCGCCCAGAGAAACATACAGGAGGAAACTCAGAGTCTATATCTCAATTCTGAGTTTATATCTCATAATTTTGAGTTTATAATTTATAATTCTGAGTTTATATCTCAATTCTGAGTTTAAATCTCATCATTCTGAGTTTACATCTCATTTATATCTCGAGATAACTGAATTATGAGTTTATATCTCAGTTCTGTTCATATCTCTCAGTTTTGAGTTCTCATAAATCTTCATATCTCAGGAAATAATCTGAATAGTTAGATAAAAAAAGTTGCAATTACAGTTTCCCACCACACACTTCAGTCTTAACAATTGTTGTCAAACTGTTTGAGTCAAAGGCCCTCTGCTGTTCAACACAATATCTGAAGGTCCTCCCGTATAGTAAGATATGTCCAGCATTTCTGTTGTACTTAAGACAAAGATGCTTGTTCTTAAACATTTTTATTAACAAAAAGTTGGAGTGCTGATATTAGGGAGTATTTCAGTTTATATCTTGATTTTATGTTTTGTTTTGTTTTTTAGTATTTTATGTTAGTGTTATGATTAGATTATTTTAAAATGTGAATAATTGGAATACTTTGAGTCACCCTGTGGCCCCCTGGTTGAGAAGCACTCAGAATGAACTATTAGGAGGATATATTGATTTTCAGGGCTATCTATGAGGGATATCATTTGTGTAAAACTAATCGAGATAAACTGCTGTGAATGTGTGCAGGTGCCTGCTGTCCGGTGTGTGCGGGAATGCTGCAGATCCTCTGGAATAAAGCACAGATGAACAGCTTCGCTAAGGTAAATGTTTCATCTTCTCATTCTGCATTGCACTGAGCTGAGAGCTGGTCATGTTTAAAGTGTCCTGTGATTTTAGCCAAGCGCATTGAGATCAGGCAGCCAGCAGGAGGCAGTGTGGATCATTTAATAGCATAAATGCACCAGCGGACTGTTCCTATAGGATCATGCTTCTCCAGAACAGCATGCCTTACATCAGCCACTCCAGATCTCTGAGCAGATTAGTGTGTTTGGAAACAGTGCTTTTATGAACTATTAACAGTGAATGTTTCTATATGAGGTCTGGCCTCCCTCCAAAA